AAAAAACTAGCCGTGCGAGGTAGCGGGCACCTGTAGTCCCAGCTACTTGGGAGGCTGAGGTAGGAGAATGGCGTAAACCCGGGAGGCGGAACTTGCAGTGAGCTGAGATCCGGCCACTGCACTCCAGCCTGGGTGACAGAGCAAGACTCCGTCTCAGAAAAAAAAAAAAAAAAAAATCTGGGCTTGGTGGCACATGCCTGTAAGTCTCAGCTACTGAGGAGTCTGAGGTAGGAGGATCACTTGAACCCAGGAAGCCAAGGCTGCAGTGAGCCATGATCGCACCCCTGCACTCTAGGCTGGGTGACAGAGCTAGACCTTGCCTCAAACAAAATAAAAATAAAAAAATTAGTAAGTTAATATATATGTTTTATTAAATGTGTATATAATTGTTTTTATGTGTATGTGTTTTATATATATATAATTGTTTTATATATATGTGTATATAATTGTTTTTAATAATTCTACATTTTATAATTCTGCATTTTACATGTCCAGTTATTTGTGCTGATAATGTCAAGATTTGTTTTATAAATAAGGTTGGGTTTTGGCATTTCAGGTTTTTATAATACCTTTTTAAAAATATCTGTGTGACTTGGCCGGGCGTGGTGGCTCACGCCTATAATCCCAGCACTTGGGAGGCCAAGGCGGGTGGATTACCTGAGGTCAGGAGTTCAAGACCAGCCTGGCCAACATGGTGAAACCCCATCTCTACTAAAAGTACAAAAATTGGCTGGGCGTGGTGGTGGATGCTTGTAATCCCAGCTACTTGGGAGGCTGAGGCAGGAGAATTGCTTGAACCTGGGAGGCAGATGTTGCAGTGAGCTGAGATTGCACCACTGCACTCAAGCCTGGGCGACAGAGTGAGACTCCATCTCAAAAAAAAGAAAATATATATGTGTGTGTGTGTGTGTGTGTGTGTATACATATATATATATGAATCTTTCCTTTTTCTTTATGCTTGTGCAAGGACACAAGAATTAATTTCTACTTGAATTTTTTTTTTTTTCAAACTGAGTCTTGCTCTGTCGCCCAGGCTGGAGTGCAGTGGCACGATCTCGGCTCCTGCAAGCTCCACCTCCTGGGTTCACGCCATTCTCCTGCCTCAGCCTCCCGAGTAGCTGGGACTGCAGGTGCCCACCACCACACTTGGCTAATTTTTTTGTATTTTTAGTAGCAATGGGGTTTCACCATGTTAGCCAGGATGGTCTTGATCTGACCTCGTGATCCGCCCACCTCGGCCTCGCAAAGTGCTGGGATTACAGGCGTGAGCCACTGTGACCTGCCAAAAATTTTTAAAAATTTGCTTATGAAACCATGTGAACCCTATACTTTTTAAATAAATAATTACTGTATTTTTCAGTTTCTCCCAATGTTATTAGTCTGCTTAGAATTACTACCTTTTCTTGAGTTCTTCAGCTGTAATCATTTACAACTTCTTGGAATGTTATCTTCTTCAGTTAGATTTTAACAATAGGGGCATGTGGTTTTATATTAATTTGTTCATTCAACAGATTTCTATTGAGTATACACTTTGAACTAGGCTCTAGGCTGAATAATGGAGATAAAATCGATTGTAATATAGGTACAAGCTCTGCCCTTAAATAAGTTTACAGTTTGAAAGACATTGCATTTTGTCACAGTTCTTTTAATTTTCTCTCTACATATAGCTGTATCTTATTTTCAGTTTTAATGTGTATATGCTGAGTTTTCCCGATTGCCTTAGTTTTTATTTTTAGTTCTTAGATGTTTGTCTTTTTTTTCCTGCAGTTTATAGGTTGTCTATCATTTTTTCTATCAATAGTTTCTAACGTATGATTTCTACTTTGCCTTTATCACCTTCTTCTACTTTTCTTGGGTTTGATTGCTTGTAGGGTGTTTTTGTTTGTTTTTTTAATGATGAGGGCTCAATTACATGTATTATCTTAATCAGAAAATTCTAGTTTTTTTGGTAAGTGTTTTCTTTACTTTTCCTTTGAAGTGTTTCTTCTCCCTTGGCCTTAAAGAACATTAATTTGTGTCTCAAAAGGGACCATTCTCTTTATTTGGCCACTGAATTTTTTGTTTTAATGATGGCTTTTTTTGTCCCAGGAAATCTTTTGTGCTAATCCTGATTCTCTGTAATACAGCTGTCTCTCTGCAACTGTCTCTCTGAACTCTGAGCCCAACCTTGGGTCTAAATAAGAAGCCTCCACCTACCTGTTCAGCTCTTCCTCAGTTTCCTCAGGGTCACAGAGATCAGGTGTGCTCATTCGGTCCCAGTGAAAGGAATTAGCCTTACCAGAAAAGAGAACACACTATAAGCCACTGTAATTCAGTCAGTATGGCACTTGTTCAACTCTAGACAAATAGACCATTGAAACAGAATAGTAAATCCAATTTACAGTATTTGGGAATATAATTTATATAAAGATGACATTATAGATCAGTGGGGAAAGGATATATAATTCATTAAATGGCCCTAATATGACCGGCCATTGGAATACCAAGAAAAAAAAAGGATGAGGGGTATAAAGTCAGTTCATCAATTTGTCTAGGAGACTTACATGTAAATCTAAGGACAGAGGAAAACTTCTGAGTTGCTAAGACAAGAAAACAAGCTAAAGAAGAGATAAACATATTAAAATATATTGGATCTTTAAATTTTTATTGTAAGTATACCATAAACAAAGTCAAGAAACATAATTTTGATTTGGAAACAATATTAGCTAATGTTTATTGTATATAAAAACCTTCTTTAAATTGACAAGAAATTGGTAAATACCCCAGTGCCAAAATGGCAAAAAGATATGGATAGGTAATTCACAGAAGAGCACATCCAGATGGCCAACAAACACATCAAAAGATATTTTAATATATCCGTTGTCAAGAAAATGCAAATTAAAATAACAGTGAACTGTCAGTTTATAAATGTTTAAAAGAACTGTTAACACCCATTGCTGTAGAAGAAACTGGTAAGGTTCCTCATTGCTGACAGAAGTAAAAACTGTTATAACCTCCTTGGCATGGTGGCTCATGCCCGTAATCCCAGCACTTTGTGAGGCCGAGGTGGGCGGATCACTTGAGGTCAGGAGTTTGAGACCAGCCTGGGCAACACAGTGAAACCCTGTCTCTACTAAAAATATATGTAAAACTTAGCCTGGAGTGGTGGCACTTGCCTGTAGTCCCAGCTACTTGAGAGGCTAAGGCACGAGAATCTCTTGAACCTGAGAGGCAGAGGCTGCAGTGAGCCAAGATTGTGCCGTTGCACTCCAGCCTGGGTCACAGAGCAAGACTCTGTCTCAAAAAAAAAAAAAAAATTGTTATAACCTTTTTGGAAAGCCATCTAGCATTTTCTTTTAAAAACACGATGGGCCTTAGACTCATTAGTCTCATTCCAGGGAATTTATACCAATGAAATACCAATATAAACATGAATATATACTTTTAACTGCACTGATGTAGATTGCAGCCTCATTGTTGTGGCAAAAAAATAACTGTAAACAAAGTAGGGGGATATTTGACTAAATTATGATACACAAATTGTTTCACACAGTGAAACACAGTGGATTAATATGTAGTCATTAAAAAGAAGGAAATAATGTTAAACTAGTTTACTTGGAGAGATTTTCAGGTTGATTAAATGGGAAAAGGAGATAAAGTTTATATGATATTCTATTTATGTAAAATAATCACCAGAAAAACTCTGTATATACAGATAGTCCCTGACTTAAGATGGTTTGACTTATGATTTTTTGACTTATAATAGTGCTAACTCAATATGCATTCAGTAGAAACCATACTACTCTTGAGATGCTGGGCCACTGTAGTGAGCTGTAGCTCCTAGTCAACCACACATTTTCAACTTATATTTTCAGTTTACAGTGGGTTTATCAGGACTTAACCCCATCGTAAGTCAAGGAGCATCTGTATTTATATATGTACTTGTTTATTTTCCTTAGCTGGAAATACACCCCTGTTTTCATTACATGTCAAAGTCATATTTATCCTGTTAAACTGCCAAATCCATTGGCTTAATATGGTTAAAAAAAATGTAGAAAATTTCCAGTTATTTGTGTTTAAGCTATAAAATTTTGTGGAATGTGCCTACAGTGAATAATTTACCCTTTAGTCTTCTCAGAAATAGTGTGTGATCACGGGACGAACACAGGCTTTGGAATCACAGAAATTGGTTTCAAATCTCTTTGTGAGCTTGGACAAGTTACGTAACTTCCTTCAGTCTTGATTTCTTCACCTAAATAATAATTGAAAAGTTTGCTGGGAGGAATAAATGAAATTATGTAAAACACCTAGCAAAGTAATCAAATGTATTAGTTTGTTGTTTTTAAAAGGTTAGGTTTTTATGGCTCTAGACATTATAATATGTTTTACTTGGCAATTTTTAAAATGTTCACAGTAGGAAGATAATATTTTTTAGTTAAGCCAGGTTCAAGATCACTTAATATAGAATTTATACCTAATTCACTAAAACTTTTTTTATAACTCTGATGTCTTCAGAAGTTTCTTCTGCTTTCATGCTATTTATTAAATGGTTTTTAGGACCTGCTATTGGCATTTTGATATATCTATAGTGAACTATGTAATCATTTTATAACCTGATGCCAGTGAGGACAGTTAAAAAATTATATATATATATATATATATAAATTTGGAAGAGTAAAGAAGCTAAATTAAACCTATGCCAGCGAAAATGTAGTGAATTCCAAGAGTGATATGTGAGTGACCTGTTTTGATTGTTAGTAAAAAGTACTGGAAATGTTGACCATACTGCTAGATCTTGACATAGTTGTAAGCCATGATGAATTATGAAAGCTTAAATTTTGTGTAAAAATGCTAATAACATGAACATACCTAGACATTCATTTGCAGTTACTACGTTTATGTAAATACTTTTTTCTTTAGATGACCAAAATTTGTAATTCATTCCGATTTTTTATTATATAGCTTTTAAAACATTACCATATTTTCTTTTTTGAGAGCTATCCATTCCATTTTTCTTTAAGACTGGGACAGGGAGAAATTACTTGAAGCTTGGATGTCCAACCCGGAGAACTGCTGCCAACGATCAGGTGTTCAAATGCCAACTCCACCACCAAGTGGGTATAATGCCTGGGACACGCTCCCATCTCCAAGAACTCCAAGGACTACACGCTCTTCTGTCACCTCCCCAGATGAAATCAGCTTATCTCCTGGGGACTTAGACACTAGTTTGGTATGGTTTGGTATTCACTGTACTTCTCATAGCTTTGTTTTTAGTCTTTTAACATTCAAATGATTTAATATTGTTCCGTGGAGTGTCTGGTTGTGTTCTTGTAATTGAATCCTGTCCCTTTCTTGAAAGGTTCAGTTATTTCCATGCTTCAGTAAATATTTGTTATTACAGACTATTTTTGTGATCTCTGAATTATAGATTGAAAAAAAAAAAAAGGGTTTCTTTCCTCATTTCCAAACAGAGAACTTAAAACAGTTTAGGGAAACCATCTATTTTATTTTCCCTTAAAACTTCAATTGCTTGAAGATTTAAATACAGGCCAGGCCTGGTGGCTCATGCCTGTAATCCTAGCACTTTGGAAGGCCGAGGTGGGTGGATTGCCTGAGCTCAAGAGTTCGAGACCAGCCTGGGCAACATAGCAAGACCACATCTCAAAATACGCACACACATGTATACAATATATTGAAATATAAAAGTTAAGTTTGTGATAGGCACTGTAAACCAAAAATACAAAAACATTTTTTATAATTTCTTGAAAGCTAATTTTTAAGCATTTACAATATATTGATAGTTATGTATTTGTTTCAGTAAAGCTTCTGTAGTTTGTTATCTAGATGCATTTCCAAAATAAATGTTTCATTATTTTACAAAACAGTACTGCCATTGTCAGCATTTTTAATTGGCATATCATTGGTGTGCTGTTATAGGAGATTTTAGTATTTCTTGAATGACTCAACCACTCGAAATATGTGATAAATATGAAAGTGCTTCTCATTTTATCTGTGCCTTTTTGAAAAACAGAATCCTGTAATTTGCATATGTAACATGATAAATTTTGCTTCTAGAGAGCTATTGTTTAGAAGGTATTAGGTAGGTGAAAAAGTGATTGCAGCTTTGGCTGTTAAAATGGCATAGTTGTAATACATAGGTGGAGTTTTGTTGTTTTTTGGGGTTTTTTTGAGATGAAGTTTTACTCTTATTGCCCAGGCTGGGGTGTAATGGCACGATCTCGGCTCCCTGCAACCTGTGCCTCTCGGGTTCAAGTGATTCTCCTGCCTCAGCCTCCTGAGTAGCTGGGATTACAGGCACGTGCCACCACACCCAGCTAATTTTTGTATTTTTAATAGAGACAGGGTTTCACCATGTTGGTCAGGCTGTCCCGACCTCAAGTGATCTGCCCAGCTCTGCCTCCCAAAGTGCTGGGATTACAGGTGTGAGTCACCACGCCCGGCCTAATACTTAGTTTTATAACAGGGTTCTCTCCCTGGAAAGTCTGGATATCTTGAGTTGCTGCATTAAAAATACAAAGTTACTCTGTTTTTATAGATTTTGAAGGGTAAGTGTAATGTGAAGGGCATGATACTGAAGTGGTTTTTTGCAACATGCAATTTGATGTTGACCCGAATGATTTATTTCTTGTACTTCCTTTTCCAAATGCACAGTTGCTGATTAATACATAAATTTGGAATTTAAGGGTTTGATTTCTGCATTAAAACATTTAAATCCCACTGTTGTTTATAGTGAGGTAGTCATAGTATTTGTTACTGAAGGGCACACTAACTGTCCTTAAAACTTTGAAAAAGGTAACTTCCAAAAACTTTTATTTACTGTACTAGTATTTTTGCCTTTTAAAAAAGTGAACAAAATGAATGTATTGTTCTCTTTCAAAAGTATAGTTCTGTTTAAATCATTGTTCTTCTTCATCTCCAGTGTGACATTTGTATGTGCAGTATCTCTGTATTTGAAGACCCCGTGGATATGCCCTGTGGACATGACTTTTGTAGAGGATGTTGGGAGTCGTGAGTATATGAGCACCTTAGCATTTCTTACTGCATGATAGCACTCTGATTTGTTAATAAAATTGTTTACTTTCAGTATTTAATTATACAAATTGTTTATATTGACTTCTGAGTTACACAGAAATGAATTTAGACTTTACTAGGAAGGAAAAATATTTTTGTTTTTATTTTTACATCTTCCCCAGCTATTTTAATTAATGCTATTTAGCTTAATGTAAGGTACTTTTAGAAACAAAGCAGTTATACAAATAATTTTTCTTAGTATTTTAATTTATATTACATCTAATGTAAATTTCAGGCAAGAATCAGTTTGTCTTATATCCCAGGAATCTTAAGCTTTTGTTTTTGTGCTGTCTCAATTTTTTGTGACAATCAAATTGCCTTGAAAATCTGTAAGAATATGGATGTTTAAGATTCCTTTTTAGTGAATGCAAAGTTAAATGTTTCAGCTAGACATAGTTGGGTATATTTTACCGGTAGAAAATTTGTTTTGCTTCTTGTGTTTATCTCTGTTTACCCTTCCCATTACCTTTCAAGATTTGTATTTTTTCACCATCCGTTGACTTAGCTCTCATGTTGCACTTTTCGAGAGAAGTTTCTAAACAAAGATTGCTATACTGAGCACTGTAATATCATGTTATCTCTGGAGACAAAGTGTTGTTCGATGACCTAAGTGAGGTATATCGTTGGTATTAAAAAAAATCTTGGAAATCAGAAGTTTTTAACTTTTTTTTGTTTTTTTGTGGAATATTAGTTAGCAAATATAGGGAACTAGGGAGTACTATGTGGGTGAGAGACAAGAACCTGAGCAGATTTTCTGAGTTCTTCTTTTTAAACAGCTTTGTTGAGGTACAGTTGACATACATAAAGTCACACATTTAAAATAAATAATTTGATAAGCTTTGATATTTCTATACAACCTTGAAACCATCACTACAACCCCTAGAATCTATCATTCCCAATTCCTCATTTCCCCTTGAATCCCTGCTACTTTTCTCTTTCTGCCTTCCTTTTATCACCCCCATTTGTAGGCAACCACTGAGCTGTCATTCTGATTTTTTTTTTTTCTTTTCTGAGACAGGGTCTCACTCTGTCACCCAGGCTGAAGTGCAGTGGCATGATCTCGGCTCACTGCAGCATCTTCCTTCCCGTGTTCAAATGATTCTCACGCCTCTGCCTTCCCAGGGAGCTGGGACTATAGGTGCCTACCACCACACCCTGCTAATATTTGTATTTTTAGTAGAGATGGGGTTTTGCCATGTTGGTCAAGTTGGTCTCGAACTCCTGACCTCAAGTGATCCACTCACCTCAGTCCCCCAACGTGTCTGGTTTGATTTTGAGTACATTTCTTTATCTGTTTTCCAAATTGGAGTCAGAGGTAAGATTTCATTTGGAGGGGGGAAAAACTACTGCTTTTTAAGTCAGAATATCTGGTTGTTCCTTTTAAGACATAGACTAGATTCTACTCAGAGTCTACTTAAATAGGATCAGATCAGTACACCTGTTACAGGTAAACTAATTGACAAAGGTCAGAGCTCACAATCCAAAGCTATCCTTAACCCAGTTGTGGAGGCAGAAAATACTTCCCAGGTAAAATTTTATTTATCTTAGTTGTTAACTGTACTGAATTAGGAAGTATTACCTGAGCTCTACCAAGTTAGCTGTTGGTCTTGGTATGTATATGAAAATTGAGTCCCCCAGGGATTTTCTTGAATTTTTTTTTTTTTTTTTTTTTTTTTTTTTGAGCTTCATTGACCTTCCTCACCTGATTTGTATCACGGAAACTATCTCCCAAACTCATCACAAACTAGCCATAAGAAATGTATGGTAAGATTTAAATTTCAAAGATCTATTTATTGATTTCATTAGTACCTTCTAGCCTACCTAGGATTCTCCTTTCCATCCCTTCCAAGTTTGTCAAATCAAGCACCAATAAAAGAAGGTCCATGTTGGGTGATTCATATGTTGATGAAATCATTTTTAAATTATCACAGTTTTTTTAAATAGGCACATAGGAAAAGAAACTCCTATCTAAAACCAAGGAAGCGTTTTTATAGGTCCTCAGATAGTTTGAAAGTCCCTCAATCTATCTTACTCTTCCCAACCTTTTTATTAGTACAGCTAGATGCTTTAGTGCAGGCTTGTCCAACTGTGGCCCACAGGCTGCATGTGGCCCAGGACAGCTTTGAATGTGGCCCAACACAAATTCATAAACTTCCTTAAAACATTATGAGGTTTTTTTGTGTTTTTTGTTGGTGTGTTTGTTTGTTTTGCTGTTTTTGTTTTAAGCTCATCAGCTGTCATTATTGTTAGTATATTTTTTGTGTAGCCCAAGACAGTTCTTCTTCCAGTATGGCCCAGAAAAGCCAAAACATTGGACACCTCTGCTTTAAAGTATTGATGCCAAGGGCTGAAATAAAAGGGAATAGCCAGGCATAGTGGCGCGTGTCTGTAGTCCTAGCTACTTGGGCAGCTGAGGCAGAAGGATCACTTGAGCCCAGGAGTTCAAGACTACGGTGAGCTATGACCACACCACTGCACTCCAGCCTGGGTAACAGAAGAAGATCCTATCAATTGATTGATCGATCAATCAACAGATTAGATAGAAATTATTATTTTCTAGCCAGAACAGAATTTCTTTGCTAATATTGAGAATATAAGAGCTCAGGTTCTAGATACAATAGGCCACTGGGTTGTGAATTCCAACTCTGCTATTTATTAGTTATTGATTTAGGTAAGTGGTAGCCTGCCTGTTCCTCAGTTTCCTAATCTATAAAGTGGTGATGATAGTATGTACTTCATAGGATTATCGTCAGTTTTTTTAATTTCTTAATATATGTAAAGTGCTTAAAACAGGATCTTGCATGTAGTAATCGCTCAATAAGTATTGTTATCATATTCCTAAGCATTGTAATAAGCAGAGAGAGCCTACCTATGATATCATCTGTGTATCTTACCTGCAAGATAAAAATATAGGTAAAGTTTGCCCCACATTTATCTCTTTTACTGACACTCATCAACTCCATGTTCTGCTCATACATTTTTATTGAATTGTGTCTTGATGAGAAATAATAACATGGCCAACAGAACTGATCCTGTCTTCAATGAGGTCTTCTCAGTTCTGTAATTTAATTCCCCAGAGATGATGAAATCTTCTCTGATATATTTAAAATATGTAAAATTCAAAACATCATCATGTAGTAACTGTGTCTAAGCAAACTGTGAACTTTGACAAGAGACTATCCAACTTCCCAGGGAATCTATTCATAGCTAAAAAGAAGAGAATCTTGTTATGTGAAAAAAGAACTCTACAGTTAACAGTTCTCCACTTTTAGTCTTAAGACTTCTTTTTTTTTTTTGAAATGGAGTCTCGCTCTGTCACCCAGGCAGGAGTGCAGTGGCACCATCTCAGCTCACTGCAACCTCTGCCTCCCGGATTCAAGTGGGTCTCCTGCCTCAGCCTCCTGAGTAGCTGGGATTACAGACGCTTGGCACCACGCCCAGCTAATTTTTGTATTTTTAGAAGAGACAGGGTTTCACCATGTTGATCAGGGTGGTCTCGAACCCCTGACCTTGTGATCTGCCTACCTTGGCCTCCCAAAGTGCTGGGATTACAGGCGTGAGCCACCATATCAGGCCACAATATACCTTATATATCACTCCTTAGCACAGGATTGAAAACACTACTTGTGAAAAAATGGATAAGGATCTACCAGAGGTAGGAAGAATGCCAAGGGAAAAAAAAAAAAAAAAATCCTGGAAGCCAAAGAGAATTTGAAAGAAGGAAATGTTCGCAGTGTCTCATGCTCTAGAGAAATCAAGGAAGATAAAAACTGTGAATTCTTTAATAAATTAGGCTAATGGGTAGTCATTGTGGCCCGGTGAAGAGGTGATAGCAGCCAGATGCTGCGGATTGAGAAGTGAATGACATGGGCTTCAGGAAGGAATAACAGATCATCATAAACTATTTTGTCAAGAAACTTTGATGTGAAAGAAAAAGAAAATGAAACAAAAGAGAGTCATGTGGTTAGTAAGGGTCTTTAAAATGGGAAAAACTTGAGCATGTTTATTGTGCCCAAGGTAAGAGACATTAGAAAGTAAAAGACAGAAAGGATAGGTTATTGGATAGTGCAAGTCCCAGAGCTGGCCAGAGGATATGAGGATTAGCCTGGGAGTAAAAGAGAAAGCTCTCTCACAGAAGTAAGTGGGATGAAGAGGAAAGAACGCTAAAGATACTGCTAGGTTTGAGGTGTGGTAGAGAGCACTTGGAGTGAGAGAACTGTCTGTTGGGGACTCTCTTTTCTATGAATTGCCCAGACGAGGATATGAAAGAGAAGATGGAGCAAAGGGAATGGGCCTGCCAAGGTCTCAATAAGGTTTTTGTTGTTGTTGTTGTTGTTGTTATTGTTGTTGTTGTTGTTAAGTGCAGTGGAATTAAGAGAATGAGAGAACTAAAGAAAAAAGATACTATAGTTAGTGAAATAAAATGTTGATGGTGAGGACTAAGCAGTTGTGATTTAATTTCCTGGTTTTCCATTTATTTTCTCTAGATTAAGTGTTAAATTCAATATGCAATAATCTGTACTTCAAAAGTTTGTTTCTTGCTTTTCTAAGGGCAGTATTAATCCCTTTGGGAGGCCGAGGCGGGCAGATCACCTGAGGTTGGGAGTTCAAGACCACCCTGACCAACATGGAGAAACCCCGTCTCTACTAAAAATACAAAATTAGCTGGGTGTGGTGGCACATGCCTACAATCCCAGCTACTTGGGAGGCTGAGGCAGGAGAATTGCTTGAATCCAGGAGGCGGAGGTTGCGGTGAGCCGGAGATTGCACCACTGCACTCCAGCCTGGGCAACAAGAGTGAAACTCCGTCTAAAAAAAAAAAAAAACAAATAATAATCCTTACTAAAATTTATGAATTCTTACTCTATGTCATGCACCATGTAGATTTTTCACATATATAATCTGTATAACAACCCTGGAAAGTTCACATTATTATCTCCACTTTATGTATGGTGAAACAGAGGCTTAGAGCAGTTAAATAAATTGCTTAAGATCATATGCCTTGTTGGTGACAGACCTGGAATTTTCTAACTCAAAACACTGCTTTTAGCTGGACATGGTAGTACATGCGTGTAATCCCAGCTACTCACTCAGGAGGCTGAGGTGTGAGGATCACTTAAGCCCAGGAGTTTGAGACCAACCTGGGCAAAGAGAGAGACCCCACCTTTAAAAAAAAAGAAAGAAAGAAAGTAAAAGAAAGAAAAAAAGAACCCTGCTTTTAATCTAACCTTGGGCTGGATTCCTGCTTCTTTGTTTACAGGGCATTTTTTCCCTCACTACTCAAGTATACCTAAGTAGGACATAAAACTTATTTTAATATTCGTCTAAATGAAATATAAAGAGAAAACCTATAAACCTATTCTTAAAAATCTATGCTATATTTTAATGCCACCCCAAAATATTCTTGAATTACCTATGGCTCATTTCTATACCATTGCCTCCTTTTCTTTAAAGCTATAGCATATTGAGAATTGAATATGACCTTTCTGAGCCACTCATTTCTGAATTTTTAATTTTAAATAAAAGTATTTTTTCAGATTGTTTCAGATTTTTAGAGGGAATAAAGCAAAATAGAAACATAAAACATACGAGTGTATGTTTATGTGTATGTGTATATATTGATATATAAAATGAATGGCTTAACAGATAATATGCTTTACAGTTGCTGTTTCACACTTGTTGGTATTATTTTAATTATACTCTGACAAAAAATTCAGCATAAAGAAAAATTGGCCAGGCACAGTGGTTCATGCGTATAATCCCAGAGCTTTAGGAGGCTAAGGCAGGAGAATCGCTTGAGACCAGGGGTTCGAGACCAGTCTGGACAACATAGCAAGACCCATCGCTACCAAAAATTTAAAAATTAGCCCAGCATAGCAGCATGCACCTGGAGGCCTAGTTACTCAGAAAACTGAGGTGGGAGGATTGCTTCAGCCCAAGAGTATGAGGCTACAGTGATCTGTGATCGTGCCACTGCATTCCAACCTGGGTGATGGAATGAGACCCTGTCTCTAAAAAAAAAAAAAAAAGGAAGAAAAAGGAAAATTCTTAGAATGTACGTGCAATGTAATATCCTTGCTCCTTTGCTGTCCATTGATCATTTTAATAGGTTTTTGAATCTGAAAATTCAAGAAGGTGAAGCTCACAACATTTTTTGCCCTGCATATGATTGCTTCCAACTTGTGCCTGTGGATATCATAGAAAGTGTAGTTTCAAAGGAGATGGACAAACGATACTTACAGTTTGATATTAAGGTAAGGTATGCTACCAATTATCTGTCCAATTTCTGTAATTTTGATTTTATTAAACCTTTATAACATTATTTTTTCTTTTTGTTTTATTTTTGAAAACAAAATAATGGGTCCTTTGTTAGAAATACTTTATCAGAAAAGTTGCATAAAGGAATGGTGACAAAGTTTGAAGCTAAAGCATTATTTCATAATAATAAAAGGAAAGGGGAAAGGCTAAAGTACTAGTAATTTACAAAATTTAAAATAAAACTATTTATCAGAACTTTTTATTAATTTGCCTGTTGCACTTTAGTAACTGATTGATCATAATGTTCAAATTAGATTTTACCTACTTTAAGTTTTTTAAAAGACATTATCTTTCATGCTCTTAAAATATTTGGAAATAAAGATTCTCAACTTGGAAGTTTATTAGTTTTATTCCAAGTAATAGGTTTATTTAATGAATTATAATGTTTATTTCATCTTTTTTTGTCTTTTTTTTTCAGAAGTTTTAAGTGTAGGTTACCTATAAGTGAGTTACTTTCTTTTGTGTGTGTGAGAAGTTATAAGTGAGTTACTTTCTTTTGTGTGTGTGAGATTTAAAAGTTACATTTTAACTGCTTTGTGCAGATTTTACTGAGTCTAATATGTGAACTTTTAAAAGACAAGTCCTACTTTTTTTTTTCTTGGAGACAGAGTCTCACTCTGTCTCCCAGGCTGGAGTGCAGTGGTGTGGTCTCAGCTCACTGCAACCTCTGCCTCCAAGGTTCAAGCGATTCTCATGCCTCAGCCTTGCGAGTAGCTGGGATTACAGATGTCTACCACTATTCCCGGGTAATTTTTGTATTTTTGGTAGAGATGGGGTTTCTCCATGTTGGCCAGGCTGTTCTCCAACTCCCGACCTCAGGTGATCTGCCTGCCTCTGCCTCCCAAAGTGCTGGGATTATAGGTGTGAGCCATCGTGCCCAGCCCCCTCTTCTTTAACATAGAAAGTATCATAGTATTGATTATTATGTATTATTTGGGTACCATTTAGAAATTTACTCTTCTAATACAGCTACATGCATGTTTCTACTTAATAATTATATTCATCAGGAAAGTGACACATTGTATGAGAAAACATTTTAAAATTACATATTTTCTGTGCGAACAATTACATTTTTACTTTATCATCATTTACATAGTTTTTAGACTAAAGAAAACATAAATTTTAAAAATAATTTTGTTACTAAGTTAATTGCCACTTTCCCTTTAATAATTTTTTTAGTACTTTCCAGTACTGTTTAAATTTCTTGAGACTGACAACTCCATGCATTTTATTTCACTCTTTTTCTTTCTTTGCTTTATAGTAAATGACCATAGAGGTACACTCTGTATTAGAATTTAGCATTAAAATATTTTCTTTTGTGTTTTGTTATTGCTGTTTAAACAGGCCTTTGTTGAAAATAATCCTGCCATTAAATGGTGTCCTACTCCAGGCTGTGACAGAGCAGTAAGACTAACAAAACAAGGGTCAAATACATCTGGATCTGATACACTCAGCTTTCCATTGCTGAGAGCGCCTGCTGTTGATTGTGGAAAAGGACACCTCTTCTGCTGGTTAGTATAAGATAAGTTGGAATCAGTCTAATCACCTTTCTTTCCAATAGTTATTAAAGAGACTTTGCACCTTGAGTCAGGCCGTTAAATTGTAGTATACTTGATAGTATTCTTAATTTAAGAAATGTGTAATAAGTAGTAATGGTTCATATTTGTTGTGTGCTTAGTGTGTGCCAAGCGCTACACCAGCTATTTTTTACATATTGAATTTTCCCAACAATGCTGAGTTGAGTTGATGTTATGCCCATTTTACAGATGAGGAAACTCAGGCACAGAGAAGTTCCCCAGGGTTATACAGCTAGGAATTGGCAGAAATGGGATTAGAACCCAGCTGTTTGATTTTTAAAGCCCATGTGCCTAAACTATAATATCAAATTGCTGACCATAGATTAGAAAATGTTTAGAGTTTAACCTTTCATTAAAAATATAAACCTCTAGCAATGATTCTTCACCAGGAGCTCCCAAAATTACTAAAGTCCCTTTTACAAAATTTTATCCTGGGCCCTAACAAGTAAGATTTTGATTTAGTAGGTTTTTGAGTGGGGCTCTAAAAAAAGAAAATTAAAAATCTCCCAGGTGATTCTAATGCACAGTTCTAGTCAGGAATCAATGACTGCAGTCTCATTGTTTCTTGTGTTTTGTTTAGTTTCTAGTGCCTGGTAGTACTCAATAAGTACAAACTGATGATAAATCAGTATTGGAAAGGGTATGTAACTGAATACTCTTTTGACTATATATGTGTCAGCCATCAGCACTCTACTTATTCATTGAAGGTTCAGTTAACTGTTCTAATTAAATGATTAAAAAAAAAAAGCAACAGTATTTATTCTCCTTTTTGCTTATTTCCAGAATCACCGCAAATGCATGGATATACTTTAGGTGGATATAAAACTCTAGTCTTTACTTTTATACTTATCAGAAACCAGAAACTAATTGTATCACTGCTATATAGTAGGAAGGTATAGTTATGGAACTGTCCCTACCCTGGTCTGCATCTTACCTTTGCCATCATCATTAGTTAAAAGTATTTATTGAACTGCTAACCCCTGACTCTTAAGTCAGGGGTCAGCAAACTATTGTCTACACTTAGTATTAAACATAACATTTTGTTGGAACACAGCCATACCATTTCATGTCACTTTATATATTGTCTGTGCCTGCTTTTGGGCTATGACAGCAGAATTGAGTAGCTGAGACAGAGACTGCATGGCCCACAAAACTCAAAATATTTACTGTCTGGCCCTTTACAGAAGAATTTTCCTGACCCCTATACTAGGTGCTTGGCTATGGTGATTAATGAAAGGAAAACCCTGTATACTGCTTTCATGGCTAAATCAAACTAAGCAAGCAAAATAGCAACAAAATACTGAACAGTGGGTTATATCTATATGCCTTCAAGTGATTTTTCAAAACACTTAAAAGACAAATTTCTATTAAAGTTTTACATTTTTATTATTCAATAGTTTGGTTCCTAACTCACCTCATTAACCCACCATGAGAGATAAGGCTTGAAATGAGAAGGAAAGTTAATGTACATGAGCTGAATTGGTAGCAGATTAATGGTATGTAGATGAATATGAACCTATTTTACTGTAAAACAAGTATATAAAAGTAATAAAGGAGCTTTCTTTTCTGAGCCAGTGTGGTTTCCAGAGATAATTAAACTCTGGTGTCCTGAAGCAGCACCCATTGTATACATCCTATGCATCTAAAATGTACTAATTATATACCATCCTTGGGAAAAATTGAGAAAAATTGTCGTACACTGTAAATCATTTTCTGAGTTCTGTGGTTCACATGAGGAATCGTGGTTGAAAAAGAATGATTTAGAGGATTAGTTGGAGAAACTGTGAAGAAAGAAAACATAAATTAAGAAAATGTCTAAAAGATAAAAAGATTAGCTTTTGCTGAGATAAGAGAAAAGTTAAGTTTTGAAGGGAAAAGAAGAAACTTTGATTGGCAGTGTCTTCTTAAGCACTGTGGTTTCTGTGATCTAGCTTTTACCAGTTTTCAGTGTAGTTTAGTTTTTAATTTCTTGTGTTCGTCCCCATTCTCTTTGTATGCTGCAAGTAATAATAAGTTTGGTTCGACTGAAGATAAGAAAGCTAATGGAAAAACCTGCCAATATAGGCCAGGCTCTATAAACTAAGTATATATGTCTATAAACATAGACGATGCTATAAACTGTAAATTTCTAGAATAACATTTGAAGAAATACATCAGCTGACTTTTTCTCATGCCCCAAAATATCAGGCTGGTTATACTCAAGACGCATTGGAGACTATATACCAAGATCACGGGCCCTACTTTGAGTTTTATCCCAGTTCAAGGGATCTGTGAATGGCCACATGGACTAAGGTCACACTTGGTAATTATTTACTCTTTCTCCTGTTCATTAGGGTAGTAGAGAACCTAACAGAATCATCACTTTTTGGACATAGCACCAGAGAGGAAGAGAAGAAGGGGACTTAAATGAAATAAAAATAAGTTTTAGTGAAGGACAAACTCAGATTTAGGTTCTTCAACTTAATCTTTTGCCTTTCAGTTTTGGTATTTATTAAGTTATAGGATGGATTTTTTTGCATTGCCTACTTCATGTCTCTAGGCGTTAATTTACAGTTCCTGGTTTTTTGTTTTTTGTTTTTTTTTTTGCATTCTTAGCTTTATACCCTTATTCATATAGTATAAGAGCTTTGTCTATAATTTTAAAATCTAAGTAGAAATTGTCATATGCTTTCTGTTGCCTTTATCTCTTATTTCAATGAGAAGCAAAATCTGTTCATGTAAAAAGACACTTTGCAAGAGAGATCTTCACAAATTAAAGGCAAATGATTCTGGTTTTGCTTCTTTCCTTCTTGAAAAGCTCAGAAATAATTTTCTAAAGATGACTACAAAAACCACAACAAAAGACAATAATAATTTCTTCTTTTCAGGAACTGTATATGACAGAAACAGTTGAGCCATACCCAAGAGATACCTGCATGGATATAACTAAATATATTCATTGTTGGGAGACAAGTAGTATTAATAGGCATTCCCCTTCCCACCACAGGATACCCTTCTCTAGCTGTGCACCAAATTCCATGCCCTTAGTAACTGAAGCTTCCCGCTAGCCTTTATAATTACAGTTTGTGTGATCTGGGCAAAATTATCTCAAGACAATATTCAAAACTTAGATGGGTTCTGACTTGAACCAATGACTTTTCCCCTGTTTTTTTTTTTTTTTTCTTTTTAATTAAGTAAAATGTGCTACTGTGTAACTTCTGTGCCTTCTGCTGACACAAAGTGTCTCTCTTCTCTGAGACAACTCTTCACAGATTTGTTGTCAGAAATGCTTCCTGGCCACCAAACTTAAGATGGTATGGTGGCCATTTCTTTCCTGTCTTTTTACTCTGGTCCCTTTTAATCACCAGTGTGCATTGAAAACTGAAAACCTTACTTGGAATTTTGTCTTCTAAACACATAGACAGTCAAACCTATTTTATTCACTGAAATTGATTGGCAGGAAATATTCTAAATAATAATATGGTGCTGGGCATGGTGGCTTACGCCTGTAATCCCAGCACTTTGGGAGGCCGAGGCAGGGGGATCACGAGATCAGGAGGTCGAGACCATCCTGGGTAACACAGTGTAGCCCTGTCTCTACTAAAAATACAAAAAATTAACTGGGCGTGGTGGCACGCTCCTGTAGTCCCAGCTACTCGGGAGGCTGAGGCAGGAGAATTGCTTGAACCCGGGAGGCGGAAGTTGCAGTGAACCGAGATCAAGCCACTGCACTCCAGCCCAGGCAACAGAGCGAGACTCCATCTCAAAAAAAGAGAAAAATAATAATAAAGTTTATATTACCTAGCGATTGAGCACTTATTTACTGAAACTGTGTAAAGAAGTCTTTAAAAGGAACACATTTTTGAATCATAGTGATGTACAACTTGAGAAACCACAGTATCAGGTTTCTAGTCCACTTAAGTTTCCAGTGGATCAGAGAGTACAATATATAGACCTGTCAAGTTTGCAGAAAAGTTTGAAAGTGGGTATCTTTTTTCTCCAACATTCACAATAAGGATTTTGATCAATACCTACTCCTTTATTCAGAGCAATAGTTGTATGCATCATCTCCCCCTCCACAGACCTCACAGGCCAAGGGACTCTCCAGGAGTCCTGTGGACAAAATAGATGAAGCAGTCTGTATTTTTTGACCTAATAATTGTGTCTCATCTTTTCTTACAAAATCAGTTTTAAGCCCTTAGATTAACAGCTCTAGTTACAGAAGAAAAGATCTTTCTAGATTGGCAGTATCTAGCTATTTAAGTATCAGACTCCTGCCAACTAGCAGAACATTTTCCAGCTCTTCACAGTCCCAGAAATAAAAACATGATACTACTTATTTGGTAGTTCAATCAAAAGACCTTGTTTAAATATCATGTATACTCTCTGCAGAGTAACACATCTCCATAAATAAATACCGCTTGATGGTTCAATTTATCAAATTTCAACAGAGTGATAATAATCTGGGAGATGGACAGAACCTGCCTGTGAGACAGCTCTGCCACTAACTAGCTCTGTGGCGTGGTGATAAATATCCTCTCCTAAAATAATGTGATAAATAAAGCCTTCCTATCTAATGCAGTCAACATAGAGTGCAAGTTTCCAGAACCAAACTATTTAGCTTCAGATTTTAGCTTATCCACTCTTTACTTGTGTGGCCTTTGGTAGGTTACTGAACCTCTCTGTGCATTTAAAATGAGGATAAATAGTACCAGTTACAAAGAATTGTTAAGAGAATTAAATGAGTCCGTTCACGTGGAGTATTTAGAACATTACCTGGTGTACTAAAAAATGTTAGCTACAGGGGAGAAGCATAGAAATTGGGATTTCTACTTAATTCAGTCAGAATTGCTTATTAATAAAACGTTCTAAAATGGCATTTAATTGAAATTGCCAACTTCTGGATAGGAATTTCTTCCATCAGGTAATAAATTTTAAAAATGTTAGTGGAAGGT